TTCTGGCCCATAGCAACCCTGTCAGGCACTGGCAGGTGTGCACCTCGACAGGAGCCCGCCTCATCCTTCTCCCCGCTGTGGAGCACAGCTCCTGGGCGTCACTGAAGGAGGGCCGTTTGTCAATACAAACTCATACTCCAAACCCACCCAACCCGCTCCAGGGAGCTGCCGCAGCCTCATGGGCTCAATAATAATTATTATTATGTTGGTTGATAGGCTTTATGTTATTTTTCAATGTGAGATGTGTGAGCTGGAGCCTGCGAGGAGGAAGCTGACCCCAGACTTCTTCAAACATACATTCCCCACCCCCGCCCCACCAATTCTTGTGTCCAGGGACACAGGATCACAGGCATGACTTTGTAGGAGGATTGTTGGTAATAGTTCATGTCCTAAATACAACTTGACCTAGAGTAGAGGAAAGTTTGTTTTTATGTTTATCTTCTGTAGGTACGAAAACCTTGGTAGTTCATGGACAGAATGAATGTGATATTCCAACCCAATTGCCTGTCCATGAAGACACTCAGTTTGAAGCCCTGTTGAAGGTAAGAATGACTTTTGGCGGAAAATGTCTTTTTCAATGCACGATGCTTATAGCTACTTCATCAAACAATCATTTTGGACTTAAATAGCATTTCCCTCTCATCACATGAAGCAACATTTCCACTACTGTGGACTTTCTCTATTTTATTGCACGAGTTTCCCCACTTAACTCACATTTTTACAGGGCACTAAAGTAAGCAAAACCAGGCCAGTGCTCCCTTAGCTAAACCAGTGGCATTAACCCTTATATGTATCCTCAACTCCTCTGGGAATGCTAGACGCCTCTTAGAATCCCTACAGCAGTTCAGGAGGTGGCCTGTGGTTTCACCCCTAAAACATGAGGTGAATGGCACCAGCAGCTGATGAGCCCTTCTGGTGACCTTTTCTGTAGCTTCTAGTTGAACTACTACTAGTAAATATTAGGGGGAAAACCAGAAGATACGTTAGAAAAAAAGTAGATAAATAAAACATAAGAAAAAAAACTTAGGGAAGTATATGAATCAAGAAAGTATTTTTTAATGAGTGTGGTACCTTGCCCTCTCCGGTGCAAGTCCTGGCTTGCACTGTGGGTGGGAGGAGGTTGAAAGAGCCATAAGCTAGCACTGGGGGTCCTCCATGTACCTGTGTCTCACCTTGGGTCATCGTATTGCCTGTCATGCAGCTCTGGACTTAGACACAACTAGATAAAAAATTCGGAGACACTTAACTTTGTGAAACTTGTCTATCTTACTGGATCTGAAGGGTTGTTAAGCCTCTGTCAGACCCTCCCTGACACATCGCCAGAAAACCTCTAAGGACCTAATGAAACAAACTGAAATGTGTTCTTATGGTTCTAGGAATGCCTGGAGTTTTTTAACATCCCGGAAACTCAGTCCACCCATTATTTTCTCATGGACAAACGCTGGAACCTTATCCACTATAATAAGGTGAGATCACACAGACATGACACTCAAGTCTGGTGGTGCAAGACTCACGTCTTTCTGGAGCGCCAGGACTGGCAGGTAGAGTTGTTTAGAGGTTCAGAGCATGACCACGAGGCTTCTATTCCTGTTGACTGGCTGGCTTCGGCCTCCTTACTTGGCCTCTCTTACCTTCAGTTTCCTCAGCTGGAAAATGAAGGTGATGGTATTAGTATCTATTTTTGAGAATAATCATCATAATAAAAGAAGATGTCATTGTTATTACATTGAAGTAAAAAATGGAAATATTCACATAATAACGGTGTGTCTTTTTAACATTTTTAGACTATTCTAATTCCCTTTCTCACACAACCATGGTGACATAATCTAATGAGCAAAAGAACATCTCGGGGAGATCAGTGATGTCACCTCTTCCTTCTGGAATGTCTGTTAGTATTTAACCTGTAAACCCATTGCTCCTGCGTAGCAGCTTTGTGCTTGGAAAGAGTACTCAGCTGCTAGTGGTCCTATTAGGTGCCATCGAATCAGTTCTGACTCAGAGTGACCCTCTGTACATACAACGTACCAAAGCCCTGTTTGCTCCCCGTCATCACTCCTGTGTCTGAGTTCATTGTACTCAGCCTAGGTGGTTGGAACTTTCTCAGGAAGCGGGGTTACCTCCCCTGGGTTTTTGTAGAATTGGTGAACATCAAGTAGTCAGATTTAAAAACACTACAAGATTTGAGCAAGAGTTCCATGAGTTGATCTGCTTTTCTTTGTGTGTTCTCCCTCCAAGACCTACGTTCGGGATATTTATCCTTTTCGGAGGTCCGTGTCTCCGCAGCTGAACCTTGTCCACATGCATCCAGAGAAGGGGCAGGAGCTTATTCAGAAGCAGGTACCTCCCCACCACAGTTTCACTCTGTGGTGTTGTCCTGTTGTTGGGATGGATGATCTGCACACGTGCTGCCAACTAGGGGACACTGAATTCTGTTAAGATCCTCTCTAGAATGCATGGTCCATAGGTCAATAGAGGCAGTTTCCCAAAATCATATTTTACTATTGGCTCAAAATATTAAGGGCATAACATATACTCACGAGGAGCAATCCTGTGATGAGTCATTGATATAGAATCTGTTCATATAACCAGTATAAACAATAAAAAGTTTCTAATTTACCTACTAGTTTTTTATGTATGGAGTTTGCATTTCATGAGTTCTTCAAACAAGACTGGAAACATACACAGTATATATCTATATTATAGAAGGTTCATTTAGAGATGACACTAGATGGAACAAATTAAAAGGATTCCTACAAGCACTGAACTGAGGTTCCAGAGATCCAGACTCAGTCTCAGTTATACCACTGCAGTGTGACCTGACATTGGGCAGGTTCCTAGGATTCTCATACTCAGGAACAGATACAAATAAGGGGGTTGGGATCGTAGAGAAGAGTAATGTTCTGGTACTCATCATGTCTGATATCAAACAGAAATTTAATCTCAAGGAAATTCACTGTTCTGCATGCAAATTATAACTATAATACGCATTTCTAACAACATTGCGAAATTTAGGATTATCTGTGCATTGAATTCATTTATCATTAATAAAAGCTCTAAACAAGAATTCCAGGACATCGAATCATTTAAATTTTTTCTACACATCCAAATGCTAAACGCCCGCCCCACCCCCATCCCCCACCCCAAACAGGAAACCACTTTAGGCATCAGTGGAAATGGTAGAAGCAGTTAGCATGGACTGACTCCCCTTGGAAAAGTCTTTCATTTTGCAGCACCCAAACAAATGAGCTCTATTTGCTATTGAGCTCACGCGACAATGCATGCCCTGTGCCCCTCCAGCCTTCAAACTTCATAATAAGCCCTGCTTTCTGTAGAGCACACAAAAATAGAAGTGAGCGTCAATTATGTACTGTCCGCTCCTTACCACACACTGTGCTCTGTGGTAAAGGGAAAAAACAAAAGCAACAACAACAACAAAACAACCATTTCTCCCCCATTTCACTTAACCCTTTGCTGATTTTACCAGCAAAAGTCTGCCACAGCAATGTTGACTTCCGTTTCTTCGCTTTGTAATAGCAGGGTTGCAAACTCTGATGTCTTTCTGCGTCTGATTTCCCGCTAGGTGTTCACGCGGAAGCTAGAGGAAGTGGGACGGGTTCTGTTTCTGATCTCCCTCACCCAGAAGATCCCCACGGCGCACAAGCAGTCCCACGTGTCCATGCTGCAGGAGGACCTCCTGCGCCTGCCGTCCTTCCCTCGGAGCGCCATCGATGCGGAGTTTTCCCTCTTCAGCGATCCCCAAGGTAGCAGGAGAGAAGCGTTTTCTCTTGGGGCTTCTTCGCAGGCCTGTGCTTTGCTCTGAGCTGGAAAACATCTGAATCAGAAACAGTTTCCTAAAAGTGGTCCTGCAACTTGAGCGTATGTTAGAATCACCTGGAGGAGTCAACCGGCCCACAGGTTGCTCGGCTCTACCCTCTCCACCCTGTTTCCAGTTCAGTTTCATTAGGATGGGACCTGAGAAATGGCATTTCTAACAAGTTCCCAAGGGATGCTGCTGCTATTAGTCCAGGGACCAGATTTTGAGACCAC